ATGAACACAATTCCTAAATATGTCCAGATTTCATCTGATGTGACATACTTGTAATTGTGTTTTCGAGAGTGAGGAGTTAATTCATGTGAGTTGAAGTGCTGGTGAGCATAGCGATTGGATTCAGTTGTGATGTGATTTACCAAGTCGTCATCCAGAAGAAATGTTAATCCATGAAAAGGGATGCATTTTATGTGTTATATCAATTTTGATCCCGAAACTACTAGCAAATGGAAATATTGGGGGTACAATGTCTCCGTACGTTCATGAGATGGGCGTGTCAGGCACCGCACTCGTGGTAGGTAAATGTTCATGATTACTGTCTTGTGGATCATCGTCTATCACTGTATTATTGTCACTATCAACTTCATCCAATTCAGGAATAATTATTTCATCGCCACTATCATCATCAGACCAAATCTCGGTCACAACATTTTCCAGTTGGTCTGTAGGAACACGAAGACACTTGCTGCAAGAAGCCATGGTGAAACTGAATGAATGTGAAATATTTTCTGACCTTTTCCTTCTCAGAGGGTTCTGACAGTAATATAGACCCCCACAAAGTTTACAAGGGTTCTTTAAAAACATGCACAAAAACTATCATATATATGTCTTTGGTTGATGAGTGCCAAGAGAGCAAAGAAGGGAAGAGATTGTCAAAGCGTTAAAACACGCCAACGCCAGGGAACGGCTGGCATCGTCCGGGCGTTAAAACACGCCCGCGCCAGTCAAAGAGTTATATTCAGATAATCACAATACACATCATATACACACATTCATTCATGTACACTCTCGCTTGCTGTATAAATGTTACGGGAAAAGTAGTATGACAAGCATAATAGTGCTAACAGATACATATATTCATGGAAAAGTACACGATTTGTATCTCAGTTCTCAAAATGTGATGCCACACCCCCCTAAATTATTCCTGAATTTATGTGATGTCACCTCTGTTAGTCAGCAAGAAGTGCAGTTCTGCAACACCTTTGCAGATCCTTGTCTGCCTGCATGGTTAAAAAAAAACATAAAAAGGTAAAGCTATCCCTGTATCAGGCCTTGGAGGCCCAGAGGGTTGTGAGACGTTGAGGGTCCCACATTTTCTAGACAATCAACCCAAAGATGGCTGTAAGGTTGTCAGCTTTACACTGGCCGCTCTTTACCTCCCAGGAAGATTCCTGGTACTCATTTCTATTAGACGCTGAGTTGACACCAGAGCCATTGTGCAGCTGGAAGGATTAGGTCAACTGAAAAAAAATCAAAGGAACTCATCGGGACTTGAACCCGCGACCTCCCAACCTATAGCATAGTGCCTCAACAAACTACGCTACTGCGTGCCTGCATGGTAACAACAGGAACCTTAATAACCTTACAGCCTCTCTGCACCTAGTGCATGTTAATGTAAAGAAAAGAACTGCGTAACATTCTGGTGGCTGCTCTCGTATTACATCTTACTGATCTCGCTTTACCAAACTGTGCATGCATACAACATGTTTCAAATAATTCTTGAGAACTTGACGATCCCCTGGAGAGCGGCACCACAGTTTGAGAAAAAATGTCTTACATGATAAACAATTTGAGAAAGCAGAGTTAAAATAAACTGCATGAGTCACTGGTCTACATTTTGAGCTACCTGCTGTTTCTGACAATTAGATAATGAAACGTGACACCTCTCCCATAGATGTGTCTCTTAGTCTCTCCTGCTTCTCTTCATCCTGCCCATAGTCAGCTATCTGCTGACAGACAATGGCAAGTCCCAGTGCCTATATTTCAGGAGTTAGGCAAATTTCGGAAGCCTCAAAACATTTATTTGGAACTGATAATGCATAAATTGGGAGAAAGAAGTAAGTGTTGGTGCAGATTACATGATTAATCACTTATACTCATATTTATTAGTATACACCAAACATCTATGGCTGTAAGTTAGGAGTAAAAATGCGTTTTTTGCTGATATCCAAAAGCAAGCGCATGTAAATTATGCAACTACAGCAATAAAATATTCTGAAACAAACAGTTTGCCTATCCTAATGTCCATGAATCACCAAGTTTAATTAGGAGTTTCATGTTCTGCTCTAATTAGCCTGTAAAAGTAAAATAAAGGTATCCCTGTAACAGGCCATGGAGGCCCATAGGGTTGTGAGATGTTGAGTTTCCCACATTTTCTAGACAATGGGCTTGTAGATGGTGGTAAGGTTGTCAGCCTTACGCGCCAGCTGTCCTTTACACCCAAGAATATTCCTGGTACTCATTTCTGTTAGAGGCTGAGTCAACCCCAGGGCCATAGCGCGGTTGGAAGGATTAGGTCGATTGAAAAATATCCAATGACCTCATCAGGACTTGAACCTGTGACCTTCAGGCTTATAGAATAGTGCCTCAACCAACTACGCTACCCTGTGCCCCCTTAATTAGCCTGAGACAATCAAAATGGCATCCTACCAATTCCATTTTGTGACTATGTAAGGAAGCTGAGAGAAATGTGAAATCCTAAATACATACCAATAAAGGAGTAAGATTTTTTCACAGTCACTGCAAGCACAAGTTTTTTGTTTTGTTACTAACCTTCTGAATAACCCCTTCTCGCTGGAGGGATCGAGCTTCAACGCTTTATCACACTGGTCTCGAGCTTCAACATGTTCCAGAAGTTTCAGATGACAAAGTGCAAGATTGAGATGCCCCACCAATAACAATGCCTTTCTCTCTGCGTCTAAATCACCTTCAAATCCTGCAAACGAAATGGCAATTGGGTTACTTCTTACAGGATGGACATGCATACACATCTAAAATACAGGTAAACGTAGGGCTGCACCTGTATCTAAGCATCACGACAAAAACATATTTATGAAATGGAGGTGGGGTTCCATACATTCTGAACTTTGTAATTCAGAAGGGGTGGAAAGTCAGACCCATGGCTCAATTTATCATAATTCATAATTTATTTAATGTCCATAAACTGTTACAGAAGTACAATTGGACAAGACAGTTAAAATCATCTAACACTAACAAGTCAATGACTCAAAAATGTACAAAACGATACACAAGACAAAGAACAATACGATCATCTCAGGATCTTAGTCCCCCTGCTGAAGCTTAGCGACCAAGGATGACAACCCCCAACAATTTAATGTAAAGCAACACATACCCTTACATCATCTATATTCATCCACAATGCATCGAAACTAACCTGCGCCACCAAACTACTGTCCATCACTGTTACTAAAAAAAATTCCTGCAGAGAATAAAAACAGTTTTGTAATAAATAACTTTTTAATTTATTTTTAAAAACTTTAAATATTCCATTCTTTTTAATTCATGGGAAAGAGATGTCACTACTTATTTGGCAGGAGACTGAATAGGCTGCAAAACCAATTAGTTGCATGGTGACAAACAAATATCTTCCAGGCAGCAGACATTCAATTTACTGAGTTATTCCTGCTGGCTGGCTGATTCCTCATAATCTACAATTAAGTAAACATGCTTACACTGAATTCAGCCAAATGTTAGGTTAGAAGTTACAAGTAAAAAGGACAATATCAGAGAGGTCCTTCTGGTTTGTCAGATATATTGCTTAACTCTGTGGCAGTAACGCAACTCTGCAGCATCAATGCCCAAAATATTTGGAAAGAACATGCTTGTGCCACTTCATCCACCACAAATCCCATGCTTTACTCTAGAACTGAACCTGGGAGTATGTGGTGAGAAGCATTTAACTGCCCAAGTTATGGCACAGCCCCTTAAACTTTAAACAAGTCATGAATTAGAATATAAAGAGAAGTAAACAACACCCACAAACCATACCAAAGTACAATATGCTTTCATATTTACCTGAACCAAACTCCAAAAAACTTATAACTTTTTTATACATCTTCAATGCTAGTGCATACTTCTCATTTTTGAAGTAATTTGTCCCTTTCTCCTTGAAGAATTTTGCTTGTTCTATTTTTTCGGCACTATCCAGAGACCAACTTTCCTTTGCCTAGAAGGACAAGCATAGATCCATGCAAGCCATGAAATTCTTTCAGGATTACGAGAAAATGAAGAGATGTATTTGAAAAACTAGGTGCAGAATTGCTGACACTGGTCTCAAGAATGCTCTTATACCATGCCATTAAATTGAAATTCTTAACATACCTTCAGAAATATACTGAACTTCATTACAGTCTTCAGGAAAACGATTTCATTGCAAAATATCAAAATGCTATTTACAGGCCCTGGAATCAATCTCCTGCATATTTACCATTATGGTTACATTAATTGCTTTGAATTTTAATCATTATAATTAACTAAATACAATGCACTATGATGATTACAATTAATTAAATCTTTAAGAGTCTTATGTCATAAAACAACTGAAGGTGTTGAGGAGAATATTTGGACCGAAGAGAGATGAAGTGACAGGAGGTTGGAGAAAACTGCATAATGAGGAGCTTCATAACTTGTACTCTTCTCCAAGTATAATTAGAATGATCGAGTCAAGGAGGATGAGATGGGCAGGGCATGTAGCACGACTGGGTGAGAAGAGGAATGCATATAGGATATTGGTGGGAAAGCCAGAAGGAAAGAGACCACTGGGAATACCAAGGCGTAGGTGGGTGGACAATATTAAAATGGATCTTAGAGAAACAGGATGGGATGATATAAGTGGATTGATGTGGCTCAGAATAGGGACCAGTGGAGGGCTCTTGTGAACACGGTAATGAACCTTCGGGTTCCATAAAATGCTGGGAAATTCTTGGAATAGCTGCAGAATTGGCAGCTCCTCAAGAAGGGCTCAGCTCCATGAGAAGTCATAAAACCCTCCTCCCCTTACTCTGATAATGTGGTCTTGGTCCAAAGTCAAATAATAAGACTGGCATGGAAACATATATAAGTTACACACTTACCTTCTCAAAGTTCTTTAATTCTACTTCATACTCAATATCAGCATTTGGTGGAATGGCAAGCTCTGCTTTTCCTTCGGCTTTAAAAGCGTATTTCGATTTCAGTTCAATCCGAGATTTCTCCCCTTTCTTAAATTTTTCGATAGCTCTTTCAAGACCTTCACAGATTCCAAATTCTGAGCCTTCTCCCAATGGAAAGCTTAGCTCTCGTTCTTCAAAAACTCGGTTTCCATGTTTCCCGACAAGTCTTACTGCAAATCAATGTCACAAGTTACAGAGAGATATGGAGGCCAAAAAAGACATGTTTTCAAAACCTCAATTCTCTTCATTCTTATGTAAACATTCTAAATGCATGCTATCGAGTGTCAATAAATGAAAAATATTTTACATGGAAATGAATTTCTGTACTTATAAAGTAGCGATAACAAGCTGGCAAAGACCTGCATTTTTAAAACTTCCATGCCCAACTACGGGGTTATGTTATGCTTTTATGCGGGTGATTCTTTTTTCCCTCCCCCCCAATCTTCATGCATTTTTAAGAACTGTGTAATAGTTCAGATTCAAGTATAATACTGGTACACTTGGTTGGTATATTTGCCGTCTTTCCAACATTCCTCTGTTAAGAGTCTTTCAAATGAAGGTTGATTATCAAGAGCACAAGTTACACCATTACAAATGCTACTGTAGTTCTTACAAAAAAAAACAGGGAAACTCATTTAAGATACAATTTAAAAAATCACAAAATATTTTATTAGTAACATATTTAACTTAAAACGAACTCTTATTATTGATGTTATAGTAAGTTATGAAGTTCTTATACTATGTATCACTGAAGATATTGTTACATATATATTGATTATTTATTCCAGCTCTTGCATATGCTTCCCAGTAAGTGTCAACATTGGGTCCCGTGTCGTAGCTTTACGGCACGTAAAAGAACCTCATATCTCCAAAGGAGGTCACTGAGCCAAATTAACGAATGTTTCCCGCCCAACATCAGTCACTAATACCTCCAGTAGATGGGGGAAGCATTATAAATACCTCTCAGCCAAGTAGAGCCAGTCTTGCTGGCTGGGCAGGACTGATGGTAAGCACCAGTACCGGTAGGATATAGAGACTGGTAGATATCATAGAGGGAAGCACAATGGACCAATACAGGTCTCAGTGCACGGGGAAACCCACCCTCTCCAATAACTAACTGTCAACATTACCATTAATTATGTCAGACATGTCCAAAAAATGACCACAGGTAATAAAAGGATTCCTTATCTGTGTGTGACATACCTTCCACTACTGCACCTTCATTAGGCGTGGAGTAACCATCTCCCTTAGTTATCTGGTACCTGATTATGCCACCATCTTTCTTCTGACTCAAATCTTCTCCTGTCCACTCAATTACTTCAATCTATAAAGAATTTATATGTTTTTACCTCCCTCGTATGACATTACACCCTGGACACACACAAGCACCATATACAACCCACCACTACGACACCCATATACCAAACATCATTGTCAAATGCTTAGCACACTCATCTCATACTTTTGAAGTGTTGGCTGCAGGATTTGAAGACTAGCTACCCCTGAGTTTCTTCATGAGTTTCCCTAGTTACTCCAGGCAAATGCTGGGATAGCACAGGCGAACCTCTCCTTAATATTGTTAATATTCAGAATTAACCTGACTTGTCATATATCATGTACAATGATCTACAGTGACGAAATAAATCAATCAATCAATCAAAACAAACTTTCATTGAACAAACAATTTGTTGCAACTCCCAATTCAGTTAGCAAGCACAGAACATTGTTTATGAACATTTTGATAAATTAACATTAACAATTTAATGACATGTCTTGTGAAAAAAATAAACTTACAAACATTCAACTTACAAGCACATTTCAAAGAACACATTATGTTTGTATGCTGGGGTTTGACTGTACCTTAAAATATGTAACAAATGGCCATTTTAGTCCATGTCCTTTCCAAATTCATTATTCACAAAAATTACCCTAACACTTGTTCTTTTTTTAAAACTATTTACATTATTATTATTATTTTAGTAGTAGTAGTAGTAGTAGTAAGTAGTAGTAGTAGTAGTAGTAAGTAGTAGTAGTAGTAGTAGTAGTAGTAGTAGTAGTAGTAGTATGGCACTACAGCCCTTTGTTGGGCCTTGGCAACTTTCTCAGTTTCTTGATTAAATGCGCGGTAGGTAGGACTCCTTGGACGGGGGATCAGCCCGCTGCAAGGCCACTACCTACACACACAACATCCCTTGAGTGTGATTCAAATGCACAACCCCAGCGTTTGAGCAAGCAAAGACAGTTCATGCCTTAGACTGTGCGACCACTGTGACTCACACTTTTTTTTCACACACAATGCAGAATATATGCATAAATGAACGAGATCTGTTAAACAACCAGAAACAAACCTCAAATATGAGAGTGGCATCTGGTGGAATCGTAGGTGGGCTTCCTGCCTTCCCATATGCATACTCAGGCTTGCACGTCAAGACTGCAACTTCCCCCTTTCTCATAGTTGCAACACCAATGTCCCATGCTTTGATAACACTTCCTTAAAAAAATAATACATACATAATGTAACATGTTTGGAGTAGATACTTCCATGGTAACACAATAACACTGAGCCCTTGCGTAGACAATGCCGAAACAATGAACGTGTTCCCCCAGAGATGAACAACAGAAGGCCGTTGAGTAACAACGGATGGGACGAAACATGTTACCAGTGTATAAAGAGCGTTCCCGAAGCAATGGATTGCTGAACACGTGAGATCAAACCTTGGCGAATGGTGTCTCGTGTCCGGTCCGCAGAACATCTACATAAGCCGAGAGCGACAGTTTGAACAACTGCGACAACACAGTTTGAACCTAGTCGAGACGTCGCAGAAGTCACGTGATACCACAAGCAATAATAATTGTATGGTGTATAAGTGTGAGTGTCCAATAAGAGTCACTAAATCCGAGACCCACTTGAAGTTATTTGTCACGTGACATACACAATACGTGACAATATATTACATTCAGTGCATCCAAAAATAAGTCAAAATAGCAGTAGGATGTAGAATAAGCCATAAAAATGAAAAACATATGTACAGTACAAATGAGGCTTTCATATAAAAAATAAAAATAGATCTGAAGAAGGTTTATATGAGGTATACATCAATACTCTCCACTTGTGGTTTTTATAAACACTTTTGAGTAGATAAAGAGCAATTTTTAAACAACAGGAACTCATCAACAGAGTAGACTAAGTGCGTATTTAAGTATATCACTTTAGTGCTACTTACAATTAGCACCCCATGATGGCCAAACATAGTGGCTGAAAAACATCTAACTGCCGAAACTATAGTTACCCTAAAATTATACATATTGCCACGTGTTGGGTATGTAACGTGACAAATAACTTCACGCCATCTTGGGTCAAGCAAATTTATTCCACTTGCTCTTACAGTTACACAATTCACAATTTCTCAACTCCTGCCATCGGCAGTATCACAATTACTTCTCCTCCTGGAGTCACTTCCATTCACTTGATACATCTCGACTCAGCAACTGGACTTCAATTCATACTGGATACTAGTAACTCTCTCTCTAATAACTGGCTCAATACTCAGTAAATAGTGTTCACTGCTCCTTACTTAGGCTCGGCACAGACAATATAGAGAACACATTGGTGCTCAGCAATATATATCAGGTATTGTTGTCAGGTGTTTCTACCTACACATTGCCTAGCAATAGTCACTGCACTGACTCGCCTGTTGCGTGACGTCACAACCTAGAGGGGAGGGGTGTTTACCGAGCGTTGTGTAATGATGGGAGGAGTGCGGGTACATGACATCACTCACGGAAACACGGAGTTCACGTGAGCCCTACTTCCTGTTGCACCATCCACGTTACAATATATTGTGAGACTGAAACTGAATTACAATGAGGATTTTCATTCATAGAACTTTTGAGTCCAGATGCTAGATTGCTGAAGATTTTCAGGCCAGCATAGTATGCATTTTCCTAAAAACATTTGAGGTTGACAACTCATCTATGATGGTAATGCTCATTTCTTGTGTTAACCCTTTTGTAAGGCTGAATTAGTCTCAGTATGTTCTTGGTTATCTGCAACATGGTTCATTAATGAAAATATGTATTCAAGTGGAACATGCAAAATCTCTAATCCACAAAAATTCTAACAGTTTTCTTTTATATCTTTTTGCTTTTAGATGAATTACCCCATAAAACTGTTCCATACTTTACTACAATAACAGGCAAAATAAGTTTACTTGGGAGTGTCAGTGTTACGGAATAACATTTATAGTTGGAAAGCACTCAAATAACGGAACTTTCTGAATTATGACATATGGAACAAAAAATATAGACTAAAAGATATAAAGTTTGCAAGCAGTAGCAGTATAGATGAAGTTTCTAGGAAGTATTATGAAACAAAAAAGGGAGAAAGTAAGAAGCTATGGAGGTAAAAAGTCTACAAGAATAATCTGTGGAACAATAAGGGTAATGGTATGGGAATGTATTAACTTATGGATGAGAACACAGTTCTACTGAGAACATAAAAAGTAATGGTGTCAAATAAATTACCATTTGGAAGATCAAGGACTGGGTAGAGAAACTAAGACAGGAAAGATATACAAAACAGTCAGGAAATAGCGAACACAATGTTTATGGGAGGGCACAAAAGAATAGCAGAAATGCCAGCAGATAATTATTATAGTACCCTTCAAACCATAATACATGAATGAATTTAGTATGGTATTTTAATGAAGAGGCTACCATAACAGCAGAGCATATAAGTGGTATTCAGTGGGTTAGTAATTTGAATCTCCTCACACGGTTCCTTACCTTTACCCAGGTTAAAGTCAAATGGTTTTCCTCTGTCTCTACTAGAATCAAATTTTGTTCCATCTGTCAGAGTTCCAACATAATGCACAAACACTCTGCTTCCCTGGACTGGAGTTTCAAAGCCAGTGCCTTCCTTTATTATTTCTTTCAGTATGCCACCATCTTTATCAGGTGAGATGTCAACTGCACTGGGTCCAGGGCTTTGTACCACCTCTGCAGTTTCAGTATTCTCTGCTGCCATTCCTAAAATTGAAACATGAGAATAATAATTAGGTAACAAAGATTAGTTCTGCTAGGATAAGGTAAATTTGTCCCTGTAGTTAAGCACAGGGACAAATTTACCTTATCCTAGCAGAAAGGCGCATGTGGGAGTCGATGTACAGATCCACACTTTCTTGACCTCGGCACTAGATGGAGGTGAGTGGTCAGTTCACGCCCATCGCTTTACCCCCAGGGAAAGAGAGCCTGGTACCCATTGGATCAGAGGCTGGGTGGACTCCAAAGCCAGTCTGGATTATATAGAGAAAAGAAAATTCTGACCCTACCAGGACTCAAACTCCAACCCCTTGTTCGCTCGGTCAGTATAGTTTGCTTGTGGACTCAAGCTACGGAGTTTGTTTATGATGATACGTTTCATTTGCCTTCAGAAATTGTTAAGTCCTCCTCCAGCATGGTGATAAATCCCATGGCATCACAAGTAGTCTTTCACCATTGTCTTTTGGTTTTCTTGTCATCTGTATACTTTGAGGAAACTAGCAAAAGTTGAAAATTATATTAGCAGTCTTCCTTTTCTCTTAAGACATCAACATGGTATTTATGGCTTTATGATCTCTGTGTTATGGGGATCAAGGTTTGGAGTAACTCGTGCAAGTGACTGGCGTAACTGAATGAAAGGGATTCCACGAAATTTTGTTATCTGCCTTCACTTTTTCTGATTAGTGATGTTTGTTTATGCATTAACAAATGTGTCTGCATTCAGTTGGATTCTTTCATTTTGAAAATATAGATTAAGGGGATAGTGACACTGAGTTCCAATATTTCAGTGTCTGTTATCACTAAAATACTTGCCGGTCACAGACAAGCAAGTGGACACACAGCTAGGTAGATAAACATATAGGCAGATACAGATATGGAGGCATTCAACAGATCTTAAAAGGAGGATATGGAACAACTTGCAGTACATCATATCACATGCAGAAAAAACCTACAAATATATCTCACAATTACAGAACATATATCCAAAAAAAAATACAATGAAATTCACTACATACCTAACTATACAATAATTTATCACCTATGTTACAAGTTTAGAAATATATAATTTACATTGCACCACAAAAAATATTATTAAACTAATATACAAAACAACTGTATTAGATACATACATGTTGCACTTACTTCATTGTCCATATAATCGTACACGAATATACATAAATAGCTTACTTTCCATATACAAAATACAGGCACATATATACAAATACTTAACCATATATGTAATTTGAAATCTGTAACACCATGTGTAAACACGAATATATAATTATGTCTTTATTTTACATTTTTATTAAATGAACCCTCCAAAAGGAACTTGTATAACCAGCCTCAAAATCCAAGCAATGGAAATTTTTCACACAAATAAAATTACTATTTTCTCGGCCAACATTTACATTTAAATCTATTCTAACATAAGACATGTGAAATTAAAATTTGAACAGTCATTACACGCTGATATGTTAGGTTTTTGGACTTTATCCATCGTCCTGGTTTTTAAGATAACAAATAAAAACACGACGTTTCGGACCAGGTCCAGTGATTGAGGCTAGCTCTTTCTAACGGACCCAACTGAATAGGTGTTTTCCTTCACCTGAGGACAGAAACAGATCCAGTTTCCGAAACGTCGTGTTTTTATTTGTTATCTTAAAAACCAGGACGATGGATAAAGTCCAAAAACCTAACATATCAGCGTGTAATGACTGTTCAAATTTTAATTTCACATGTCTTATGTTAGAANCCAAAGATGTTTTACAGCATAAACATGCATAAAGGATCATAAAGGATCTCCAACGGTATTCACAAGGATAATACCAATAGCCTTCTGTGTCAAGCTCCGTATCAAACAATACAATCTTGAAGTTGTATGGAAGGGTTATATTTCGTTACTCGCCTTGCATTATAATAAAATATTAGAAGCAATTTCAATCCTGCATATCAGTTACGTACTTTTCCGCATTCGCCCGAATATAAGAAGAGATTTTTTTCTTCAAATACTGCTTCTTAGAAGGGAGGGGGTCGCCGTAGTTTCTGGTTCTTAAAAATAAATGTAATGAGTACTAATAGGGCATTCTAATATTTGTGAAATTAACCACAATTATATTACTGGCATTAAGTTTTGAATTTATTACTCCTTAATGGTACAGTTTTTACTTCTTTTCTCTTACAACCCTTAAAACCAAATAACCCAATTTCGTCAAAACTTCTATTTTCGATTTTCTCATTGGAAAACTTGCGGGACGGAGGTCACCTTATATTCGGCCATATACAGTAATAAGAAAGGCACCGTCCAAACATGTTATAAATTAACCCTTCTATTTGCGTTCACATGCTTCACACTAAAAACGAATACCAGAGAGAAGCTTGGTTGTGCCCAATAACGAGCAAAAACATTTTTCAATTTTTCACTTCGAACTTACCAGCACCAAATTATTTACCACTACTGCAATACTAAAATCCTCTCTCACACTGCTCGCAATCACTGGAACGAACTTCCACGCTCGCTTACTTTTTTTTTTTAGCACAATACGTTTAATCTAGAAGCGTCTTAACAACGACATCTTCTAGAATATTCCAACCGGCCTCGACCTTCTCTCCCGCCCTCTACGTTCCGGGCTTCCGGAGATAACATCACTTCCCCTGATATATAGCCAACATAACTAACTGCGCTGCCAACAGTAACAAATTACATTCGTGACAGGATATTATCTACGTATCACAGAACTACATATACTACTGTGGCCACTGTGGCACTCACCAATTCAACTCATTCATTGAGCTGAGCCCTTCTGGGTATGCCGCCAACTGCGAAGCTACTCAAGAACTTCACAACATTTCATGGAACTCGAAGGTCCACAAGAGCTCTCCACTGGTCCCTATCCTCAGCCAGATCGATCCAGTCAGTACCACCCCTTCTTGTTTCTCCAAGATCTATTTTAATGTTGCCACCCATCTACGTCTTGGCCTTCCTAGTGGTCTCTTTCCTTTTGTCTTTCCCACCAATTTCCTACATGCATTCCTCTTCGCCCCCATTCGTGCTACATGCCCTGCCCATCTCATCCTCCTTGAATTCATCATTCTAATTATACTTGGTAAAGAGTACAAGTTATGAAGCTCCTCTTTATGCAGTTTTCTCCAACCTCCAATCACTTTATCCCTCTTCGATCTAAATATTCTCCTCAGCACCCTGTTCTCAAACACCCTCAGTCTATGTTGCCCCCTTAATGTCAGAGACCAAGTTTCATACCCATAACTATAATAACATTAGAATATATATTTCCAGACAGCTCCAAAAATGTAAAAGATTTGTGTTCAATAGTATCACAAGCTCAGCTTCACTATATTGCCAAATCAAAAGCATAGAATTCTGGATGAATGCTTGCCAGTACTAAGAGGCTTTAGATCTGAGGGTCAAAATTAACAATGCACCAGCAGATGTGCAACTTTCATATGCCCTTCTTATTTACCGCAGCACTGCTGAGCTGTATATATGTTCCTCGAAGTAAATCTGACCAAATTAAAGTGACTATGGAGCAGAACTGTTCAGCCAATTTGCCAAAGAAATTGCCTACCATTTATGGCACCTAAAGAGGAAAAGAAACCAGGGATGCAATTGGGATGATGAGAATTATAGCAGAACGAACTTTGGAGATAGATGAAGAACTGTGTGTTTGCTTCATAGACTGGCACAAGGCACTTGACCATGTAAACTGGACCAAATTAATGCAGATCCTAAAGCAAACAGGTATCGATTGGCGTGAAAGAAGATTGATGAGCAAATTGTACATGGATCAGAAAGTTAGAGTGCGACTGGACAGAGGGGAGACTGGAAGTGTGCAGATTGGAAGGAGTTTGACAAGGATGCTGTTTATCACCAATTCTGTTCAACTTGTACAGCGAATGCCTTACCAAGGAAGCTCTGGATGGGCTCGGAGACTTCAAATTAGGATGGCAAATTATTCAAACTGTGAAATATGCAGATGACCTTGGGTTAATGGCTAAGGAAGAAACTGTGCTACAGGACATGATTGATAGACTAATTGAAATTGGAAGGTGCTATGGCATGGAAATGTGGAAAAAACGAAAATAATGAAAATTTCGAGACAACCAACCCCAGTCACAATAAAGATAGACCACAAAGAACTGGAGAATGTGAAATGTTTTAAATATTTGGGTAGCTTGTTAACAGATGATGGAAGGTGTACTAGTGAAATTAAATGCAGGATTGCCATGGCAAAAGTTGCATTTAGCAAGAAGAAGAATCTTTTTACCAGCAAATTGGACTTAAATTTGAGGAAGAAACTAGTGAAATGCTACATTTGGAGCATAGCTTTGTATGGGGCTGAAACATGGACACTTAGGGCAGTAGATCAGAAACATCTGGAAAGTTTCAAAATGTGGCGTTGGAGAAGGATGGAGAAGATCAGTTGGACCGATTATGTGAGAAATGAAGAAGTGTTAATTAGAGTCAGTGGGCAGAGGAATATCCTACACAAAATAAGAAAACGGAAGGCTAATTTGATTGGTCATGTTTTACGCAGAAACTGCCTTCTAAAGAAGTTATTGAAGGAAAGATAGAGGGGCAGATAGAAGTGACAAGAAGACGAGGAAGAAGACGTAAGATGCTGGATGACCTTGGGGACAGAAGAGGATACCGTCATTTGAAGGAGAAAGCTCTAGATCGCATTACATGGAGGAATTGTTTTGGAAGAGACTGTGGACCTGTTGTCTAACAGATTACTGATGATGATGATGAAAAGGCATAATACTGGCATTCTCACATTTTAATTCTTTTACAATTTGTTTTAATGTACTGTTTATGCCAAAGTCTTCCTAGTGGACTATTCTGTTCAGGTTTCCTCATTAGGATTTTGAATCCATTTATCATCAAATTTAGCCCATTCTAAACATACCCTGTCCAGAAAAGGAAAGGCAGTTTTTAGGCCTATAGTGATGTCTAGATGAATGCATTGATGTAACCTAATCCAAATAAACTTCAATGAAACATGTTACTGAAAATACCATCTTTATTTTGTGCTATGTACATTCACATTCACCTCCTGTTCACTTGTCTTTCTCACGGTCAAGTTAGCCAGAGTCAGCTGCTCATGTGTTCATTAAAATCACAGCAATTGCAGGTATAATAATTTTCATGTACTGCAGATTCCACCTAAAGAGCCATAACAGCCCAGTAAATAATGTGGCTGGCTATGAACAGCATGATCAGGTTTCAATTCCCAATATGGATAGGGATTCTATCTTTATCCCCACCCCCAGGCTAGATACAAGGCCTACTCAATCATATGGTACTAGTATCTCTTTCCTAAGGAGTGAAGGGGCCAAGATTTCTCATGTTCACCTACCACCATCTAGCTCCCTAAATGCCTTCATTGTGTGGCACGTAAGTACTGAAGAAAGGCTGCCTTGCTTTTACCTTCGCATATTCCTAGTTTTCTCTTAACTAAAGTCTGTTCCCACAGGCAGTAACTTCCTTCTGCTTCAGCAAAGGATGTTCATAAAGGTAAAGATACAGTTGTACCTGCCTTTGATTAACTGAGCACCACAGATACACATTGTAGCATATAGAGCCATTGCTAGGTATTGGCCACAACAGAAGAGCTGCTGGAAGTGGTGTTCTCTGTGCGGTCCGTGCCTAGGCTATATAATGAGAGCCAGCTGCCATTAAAACTTCTGTTTGAGTCATGTCAAAGAATGGGCTCTGTCCCTGTTCTCTAAGAGACAGAGGCTAGCTGTATTGACTGGACCCAAATAGAGGTCTTTTTCCTGAGGACAGGCAGCAGCATCAAGTCTTCAAAATGTTTCAGATTAAAAATATAAATTAGGATGGCTATATGGACAAAACTGATCATACTGCAATTAAGCTGGACATTGGCTACTGCCTGAGATATATTTAATATAAAAATCATTCCAGAGGCTAGCTCTGTTTTGGGGCATCAGGTAATTGTCTTCATTGGTCGCATCCTGTTGTGTGTTTCAGAAATATAATATTGTCACGTGCTGCAGTCCAACACACAGGCCAATATGAAAGCATGGCGAGAAGAGATGGTCGTCATCAGAGAGGCAGAAGTACCGCTCGGAAGATGAACACCTCCGAAACAGAATAGGAAGAACCTTTAGGCTGTTCGGGGACGAACAACCTTTAGAAGGGAGCAATGTAACATGTTTGGAGTAGGCACTTCCATGGTAACGAATACGTGGAAATTGGAGAGTTCCCACAGTGACAAATTGTAGCAATGAATTGTCGCTGAGTAACAACGGATGAGACGAAACACGTTACCAGTGTAATCTATAAGGAGCGTTCCTGAAGCAATGGATTGCCAATCACATGAGATTGAACCTTGGCGAGGGGTGTCCTCTATTGAGTCCACGTGCGGCTTATATAAAGGGCCTGGCCTCGGACAGACAGAGAGATAGAGCCGCTGGAAGAGACAGTTGAGATCCAGCCACAGCCAAGGATAGTTGAGACGTCGCATTGGAGTAGTAGGCCAGAAGTCAGGTGATACTATAAGTGATAATAATTGTAAGGTGTGTAAGCGTGAGAGCCCAATAAAGATTCGCTGAATCCGAGACCCACGTGAAGCTATTTGTCGCGTGAAATACCCAACANGTGTGACGTCACCGCTGTTGATTAGCATTGCGTAGTTGCCAGGTTACGGGGCTCGGCTATCTTCGGCTCCGCTCGGCTCTCTTCGGCTCCGCTCGTGACGTCACCGCGCGTTGCGCATTGCGGGGTGATTACTCGCCTATTACCGCGAGCGTTACGTTACCGCTGAGGGGTGGGAGTGGAGCGCTGACTCACCCACCGCGTCACTGCTGGTGTGGGGGGGGGGCTCAGATTTCGCAACATGTCACACTATATATCTGGTAATTGGTTGTTTTTACAACCACAGCTATTTTTAAGTAGCTTTCTTGTATCAGTTGTGGCAGTTGGTACTGAATCTGGAGCCCTTTAAATGCTAATAATGTATGCTCCCACTAATACAGTAAATAAAAAAAATTGGTTCATATGATGACAATTGATTATCCAAGGACTAGAGCAGAGACAACTCCTTAAATATCTTCACATTATATCACCTCAGACAATGGACAATTAACAAATTCCCTAGTAGAAGTAATGGTGATGGCCGTGGTGGCAGCAGCAGTAGCAGTAGTTGTTGTTGTGGTAGTGGTGGTAGTAGTAGTAGTAGTAGTAGTAGTAGTAGTAGGAGCAACAGAAAGAATATCAATTCAACATGCACAATGCCAAAGCCCACCATCAGGCACATCCTGACCCCATTCCCACAGCCTACTTCTGAGACACTGGGCAATAGTAAACATATGCGGCCCGCAACCACAGCAGTGACAGCGCTCGATGCCGCTACATCACCACTGGGGAGGGAGATGGTGTCCTCCATAGCGCAACACTTCACAATATGTTCCTTTTGGGCTAATCTGTTTGCATTCAGGATGTGTAAGGATAAGGTAAGAGTGAGAGAGGTACGATTTTTTTCTCTAACAAAATATAATATTACAACTGTACAAAAGTGTCCGTAATTTATTTTCCTTCTCATCATCTTTCTTTCTCTCACTTTTTTGTTGTTTTTTTGTTTTTGTTTTTTTTCTCCTTTTTCCAGTTTTGCTGCCACATCTAGGTAGATACTAGAGAGTGGCACATATTTGTTCTGTGCCAATAAAAATAGCTTCCAACTACAGTACAAAGCTACAGGAGTCAAACAAAAAAACCCAAACCAAATACAGTAAAAAGCTGCAGCAAACAGATGTAAAATAGTACAACAAAACAACTTCTTATATCACGACATAACACAACCTATATAAAAAATGGGAAATGAACTGATGAAAAGTAGCCTGAAATTCCATAAAGCAGTGGTCAACTGTTGCTCTGAATTATGAGTAATGATGCATACCAAACTGGAATATTTAAAACATTAATATCACTGATTCCAATTTGTAGGGAGAAAGCAGAGTCATACAGCACTTCCACATTTTTGCACAAACACCATGCTATTAAACATGAGTACAAAATTCGTGTTTTCAAAAAGAGCATATAGAACAATGCTGACCAACCAACCCATGAAATCTCTTTGCAAAGAGTAATGATAGCATTAGTCACATAAAATTTAAACAAAATCTCACTTTGCACCAAGAACAGTTCAAATTCCAGCATAATTTAACCAGAAACTTATGTATCAACTCTCATTCACCTAAGTAGCTAACTGTAAAATTACATTCTCCACTTCTTGGTGCAACTTGATATCTTTAGATATGGCAACTTGGAAAATTAAAAAACAAAGGAAGCTGCTTTGTACAAGAAAGTGTTTACAACACTTAAGTCTTTCTAGAACTAAAATAAACTGTTGACAGCGAGAAGGCTCATGAAGTCTTGGCTCTGTGCCACATAATAATAATAATTATTATAAACACTAAAAATAAGACTATGTTACATTCACACATACTGTAACAAAAACACAAACTGTTGGGTGCAGTATAAGAAATAGTCTATCACAATGACAATGTAATGGAAAATATTGTTTCATAAAATCTCTCTACACGGGATGATTACCATTAGACATATTTCCTCGTGTCACCACTGAGGACAAAGTTTGGTCAAGAGTCTTCAAGTACAAAGATGGGGTTACTGGTTAAGAATGGTCCTCTAGCAAAACACTTAAAAAAAACTCTTGCTATATCATTCACTAAAAAAAGTATGAAAACATGCTTCAATATTAAAGATGCAAAAGAAGTTTGTTTTTAAAACCCATCTATAATGTCACCCTCAGCATAGTGGAATGAAACATGGCACGTGTCTCTCTTTCCCTGTTCAGATCCAGGTAAAGACTTCTGCTGCTGCCCGTAATGAATGACATCTTGACCAATGACTGTCCCTTAAATAAATTTCTGCATATAAAGCACAATTATTAGATATGACTCAGTCAATGCGAAGAGTACAGAAAGGCACTTAACAAAGTGCATGACTGCAATGATTAAAAAAAAAAATACATAAATTTTCATCTGTCTCACATGATATAATTTCTGAATACTTTACATCACCTTTATTTAGAAATTTCTGGTGTATTCTTTTACTTTAAGTACAAAGAACTGATCTATACTGTGATATGGCAGTTCAAGATATGGCCAACTTTTCATAAATGTATGTTTAATAAAATTATTTATATCAATCACCAAGCCTTTCTTGATTTATGTTTTTTTTTCTCTTGCGCTTGGCACAATGCTTTATCAATAAAATAAAACTAACAAACCAATGCCAGCCATCATAATAGTCTCAATCTATGTACACAACCAATCAAATAATAAATGCTGCTGGTAGTTGGCGAGGAGACTCAACAGCGAATCAGACACAAATCTGCTTGCTGAGCTGAGCGACTGGCTGGCTGAGGTGACAGACACGACAAGTGGTGAGAGAGTGGTTTACATCTTCACAGAAGACATATGATAAATATATATATATATATCTCATATTTATATATATAATAATAGTGATGCTGCATCTCAATAACAAGCACATCTTGATACGTCGATCAGACTTGTTTTCATTAATAATTCATTTGGTTCATTTTTTTTTAAGTAAAAGCTCTCAGCTGCCGAACTGCAAAATACTACACTCTTTATCTCACCCTGAAAATATTGTTTGACTAAAAGAGAGATCAAAAAAGTGCTGTTTTTAACCCTCGAATTTAATTTGCTAATAATTTTTCATATACAGAGTAATTTATGATGTAATGTCAATAATGTAGAAGTTCATTCGTGAGGTCATTCGCAGTCAAAAATGTCCTGCAAACATGGATCTGAGTCTAAACAGCTATGGAATTGCAGGTTTTTGACATTCAGGTTTCACTTGTATAAATAGCCTTGAACAGGAAGAGTTCACATCAGTTTGTGTTCATGCATTGTGCAGGAGTGTTTCTCTGCAACCAAAACGTCCCGTAAGATGAAATGCAGTTGAGGGAGATAGGATTATTCAAACCGTGTGACGCATTTGAAGTGTAAGTACTGGAAGAATTCAAACACACTTCAATGTACTGCTCACATGAGCAACCTGAACACTCAGATCAGCGGCTGCAATCATGTTCTTGGTTTAATAAACACCCGCACTTGCATCACTACAGGTTATTCGCAAATGAAGCTCAGTTTACCTATGATAGTGTAAATTATACTCTCGTTTCTGATGAGATGTGAATCCTCAAGGAACAGGAGAAAATAATTTCTGACATCACTTCTGTTTATATGAGGTGTGGCATTACTGGCAACCAGCTGAGGGCCATTTTAAAGCTGACATTTATGCCATATTTTTGCAGAATGAACTGCCTCACCTTTCAGCTGTTCCTTTGATAACATAGTTACACTATGCAGCCTCGGCATGATACAGCGCCTTCACATTTTAGTCAATAAGTGATGCACCATCGTAACCATTAGCATCCATAACAGTGACCTGGCTGTGAAGGTCCACACATTTGACCACTGAGATCATGAGAATTCAACATGCTACATTTCCACCCTCTTGGCAACACAGGAACTGGGGGAGTTTGATCCCCAGATCCAAAGTTGAAGATGGACACTATCGACATTTACTGCAAATTAATTCTTCAATGCAAGAACTCATTCAATAACACAGTTTTTACTTACACACAATCAAATCTTGAAATTCTGATACCAAGAACTTGGTAACTGTTGAGGCTCAGACCCATGTTCATGAGACATTTGAATGGTAATGATTTCAGAAATAATTTTCTGAAGTATTGACACTAGGTTATGAATAACCCTGTATAAATTCCTCAATTATGTGGAACTCTTAATGCATAGGGATGTCAAATCGCCATTTCACTTCCACAATAAACCACAATTTGGTTCAATGGTTCATCCCCAGCGTTTCAAGTCAGAGGGATCTGGCGGAAATAGGAGCACCATTAAAATACCATGAAACCACATAAATGTGTATACACAACTTGAAGTAATACAAAATGAGTCATGGGTAAAATTACACCAAAAGTATGAAAACAAGGTTGCTCATAACTAACATTCCGGATGATGAACAACCACATCTTCATTACAAACGTAAATGATATGACACTTATTTCTCTTATTACTTTTTTTTGTATTCTTATTCATACCAAAATGATAAAAATAAAAACCATATATTAACTTATGACGTGATACTCTTCTTGTCAATTTGCATCCCTAGCTGACGAAGTCTCCTTATCGACAGCCCAAACCACGGTGAGGGGGAAGATAATGAGTCGTTAATAACAAAAAGTAATAATACTATAGTCTTGTAACAAACCAGGGTTCCCACCCTAAAATCCTAAAAGCTGAAAGTACTTTGATGATGTTCAGAGTCTGCTCCTCAGTAGGTTATAGCAGTGGGAGTCCTGGAAATGAACACACAACGACCAAACGTGTGTGCGTATGTAGGCACTGTTGGAAAGAGTTGGGGCTGGATCTGGGTAGATGGGCTAGTCCTTTACCAGCCGGTAGATGTGGTGTTGAGCACCATGTTCTGATGTTGACACTTCAAAGACATATGCTGTGCAAAGTAATGTCTCCTGCGTCTCTCGGTTTGTCACCACCTGTAAGCATTCATTTCCTCTAAGGATCTTGGAATACACACAACATGTATCAAAAGAAGTTTGTTAGAATAGTGTATTTCTGAGTCCACATAATTACTGAGTGGCTGATTTTTGGGGATATTTGTTACTGGTGGTAGTAGTAGTGGTGGTGGTGGTGGTGATGATGATGATCATGAATTCCAACAAATCACTCATCCACTTGTTTCTGTCTCTAACGCAACATAAACTCTTATTTTAAAATATCATTGGTTGAGGGGCTATCCTACAAGCCGGAAGGTCGTGGGTTCAAGTCCCAATGAGGTCATTGGATATTTTTTCAACTGACCTAATCCTTCCAGCCGCAGTATGGCCCTGGGGCTCACTCAGCCTCTAACAGAAATGAGTACCGGGAATTAATTAAATAATTTTCCAGGGGAGTAAGGTGCGGCTGGCACGTAAGGCTGACAACCTTACAGCCATCTTTGAGCTGATTGTCTAGATAATGTGGGACCCTCAACGTCTCACAACCCTGTGGGCCTTAACGGCCTGGTACAGGGATAGCTTTAGTTTTTTTACTTTACATTAAAATCACACTTAAATTCCTAAAATGTAATATTTTATTTTACTGTTGCAACACCTCTATCCACTAAAGTTAGCACTAACTAAGGCCCCACCATAGCTCAAGCGGTTAGTCACTGGCTTCCCATGCACGCGGCCCGGGTTCGGTCCTGGTTCTGGTCAAGTGGGATGTGTGGTGGACAAAGTGGCGATGGGGCAGGTTTTCTCTGAGTACTTCGGTTTCCCCTGCCAATCTTCATTCCACCAATTGCTCCACAATCACCCACACCTATCATCTGGGGCTGGTACAATAGGCCAGCAGTGGCCGCAGTACAAGGGACTTAGTCCCACCCCAATAGCAAAGAGAAAAAATAGCACTAACTTCGCTGACAAGCAGCGGTCGCTTGGTCGGTATAGTTCGCTTGTGGACTAAAGCCACGGAGATACTTATTATGCCAAGCACAATTTTCCATGCCTGCCAACTGAGAAATATAAACAGAAGCATGACAGAATCAGAATTATGGTTTTCAAAATTTGTTGATTATTGTGCAACTTTATAATGCCTACAGGCTTTCTGTTCTATGACACCCAGTTTCCATACAAGAGATGTCAACCACTTTGGCAAGCCAACCTATCCCTTTCCAGTGCCATTCCTGTACCATTCAGCTGATATGGAAAGTGGTTTCATTCGCAGGGATGATATCCGTGTAGCGCTGAAGGACATCTAAAAAAATGTAAATGTGTGGTACTAACAATAAACTAGAAACTTGACTTGATTGGTATCTTTTTCTATGTCTGTATGATGATAATACTGTCACATGCTTGGAATCCAAAAGAGTTACTTCCATGGAAACGCTAGAACAGACCGTTACATAGGAAGTAACAATAGCGGTATTGTGATCCCAACAGTGGGCCGTTGCGTAGAGAACGCCGAATCTCCCCGGAGATGAGTCTCCACGGTTATAACGAGGGTTCATTGCATAGCAGCGGCTGAGGTTATAAAAAGGGTTGAAGGCACTTGCCAAGTTAGTTGGAACCTAGACCCAAAACGATATAGAACATAGACAGCAAGAAGTCGGTCTTGGAATAGCCGCCGCCAGAGATAGTTGAGATCCAACCATGGCCAAGGATAGTTGAGTACTGAGTATAGGGCCAGAAGTCACGTGATACTGCAAGCGATAATAATTGTATGGTGTGTAAGTGTGAGTGTCCAATAAAGATTCACTAAATCCGAGACCCACGTGAAGTTATTTGTCACATGACATACCCAACACGTGACAATACGTATCTGGCACTAAGTTTAGTTGCAGTGAAACCTGCAGAAAAATCTGAGATGTCCCAAGTAAAATGAGATTAAAATGATTAGTTTAAATAAATGTGTTATTTAATATTTTACAAACCAAATTATTTCATATGGGTAGACTATGAATGAAGTAACAGTTTGTCCACTGGTTTCAATTATATGCGGTGGTTATCCACTCCATTATCATCGACAGTTGAAAGACAACTGTACTTTAAACATTACTTTCTTCAGAAGAAAACAAAGACAGACTGTTCAGGATGACATAATGGTTACCTGCAGGATGGTGAAGTTCTCAAGCACACTGTTCATCATGTACTTTTCTGGAAGGTGCTTCAGTTTATGAATGAAGTTGATCATGTATTCGCACATAGGTGAACGATGAATGCGGTATACAAATCGACCATTCTCAAACCTTGCGTATTCTGTTTCCACCTTCTCTACCACTTGTTTGCCAAATGAGCATACTTTCGTGGAGCATGTGATGGTCATGTTTTCATTGCTCTCATACCTACAACAAACACAGCACCCAATTATTACATTCAATCTTTGTGAAACAGTGAGTGTTCCACATTATGCTCAGTATGTGCACAGCATACACAAAGTACATTATACTTTAAAGCCATAATCCAAATTTACAGCATCAAGTAGTACTGTACTGACTGCCTCTGTGGTCTAGTAGTCAGAGTTTCTGGCTACAGATCCAGAGGTCCGGGTTCGATTCCCAGAGCTACCAGATTTTTTTTAGAAGTAATGGGTCTGGTACGGGGTGCGCTCAGACTCACGAGGATAATTAAGGAACTATTTCAAGGAAACAGCTGCTCCGGTCTAGAAAACCGAAATGAACAGCCATGGGGATTCGTTGCACTGACCACGCGACACTCTATCCGCAAAAGTTGGCACTAACTTCACCAACAAGCGGCCGTCGCTCGGTCAGTATAGTTCACTTGCGGACTAAAACTACAGTTTTCTTTTGTAGTACTGTACTTAAATAAGTATCAATTTACAAACACATCAATCCAAGGAAGTGAATGGAAGACAAGCTAAGAGCTCATTCTACATTATATAATTTACAGTGACTCATAAAAGCCTATGAAGTAAAGCAACTGGCTTTGAACAAGGTGACCCAAGGTTCAATCCCCATGGGCAGATCTTTTGTCTTTACTACTACCTGCAGCGACCTCTACAGCTCACTCAGTCTCTTAGAGACACTAGGTACATTTATCAGGGGTAAAGTAGCCAGAGCAAAAAACTGATCACTCATAGCTTTACCTCCACTTCTACTCTCTGCCATCATTCAATGATGCTTCCTCAGAAAACTAATTTTATCTTTCCATTTCACTTGTGTGAAAACATCACAGGTGGATGGTTATCAATCCTGTTTCACGTCAGGACATCCCGAGTTAGATTCTTGGCCTGCTATACAGCTGACCCAGATGTTCTGCGATTCTCCTTAATCCCTCCAAGCATTTTTTTTCCCTCCTTTGGCACTACAGCCCCAGTGGGCCTAGGCCTACCTCCATGAACTCCGTTCACTTCGGTTTTTCTAGATCTTACACATACAGTAGGACTCCTTGGGCGAGTGATCAGCTCGTCGCAAGGCCTCTACCTGTAGACAAACACAGAAAAACTCACACAAACGTCCATGCCCTCAGTAGGATTCGAACCCACGATCCCAGTTTCCAAGCGAGCGAAGACAGTGCATGCCTTAGACCGCCTGGCTACTGTGACCGGCCCTCCAAGCATATACTGGGGTAATATTTTCAAATAGACTATAAACAATTACTTTCACAGCCTTTCAAATTCACAGTTCACAATTTTTGAGCAATAAAGCCTACCCACACTGACTAGTAACTGAATGCCACTTTGAACTAAGATACTGCCCAGGAATTTGGTGCCCTTTCTACATTAGTACACAAAGGTAAAGGATGTTTCTGACAGTACTAATTGCAAACATAACTAACCTTTAAGTAGCATAATGGTATTAGCAAAACAACCTCAGTACACCAACAGAATGATTCAAAAATCCATCAGAATCAATCTACTTTTACACTTAAACAGGAAAGGATGTTACCAGATCAGCCCTGCAAGGAATACCATCACCCATATATTTATACTAACAGAGAAAATATCTCATCCTTTCACAACCTGCAGGCTCCGTGTCAGTGTCCATGACATCTACATAAATATATTAGTTTCTTCCTAATATTTTCCTTACTTCTGCACACACATCTTTCCATCTGCCTTCCTGAACACCATTTCCTCAGAAAAAGATCAGTCCCTCAGAGTTTTATATTTTTGTTCCATTCCTATCATTCGCTGCCCAAATGGCTGATGTATACTACAAGTACTGGCAAACATTATGGGGTAATCACCTTGTCTTGAAGTGGGACAGCATGGATGCTGGCAATACAGCCCACCTCTACACAGTGCCATCATCAAAACACAGAATTACCATCATGGAGAGATTCTGTTTTGTAAAGTCCATACTGCCAAGTAAACTAATGATGGAAATGAGGGGGAACAGCATGGCAACAGGGGATGTGTTGACGGCTGCTGTTGTGATGATGGTGATACAAAGTATCATCAAGAGGGGAAAGGTGTAGGGGTGATACAAAGTATCATCAAGAGGGGAAAGGTGTAAGGGAGATAACAGTACAGAAATGAACACAGTGAAAACCGAAGAACATGAAAAAATAAATAGCACTGATGATGATGATAAGGAATGTACAGAAACAAAAATAATCATAGATCAAATTAACTTGAACTTGAACCTGAATTGTACTTACTGACTGGTAACACCATAGAAGGCCCCTGCCTCATCTTGTATGTTAGTATTGAGGTCAGCCCAAAATTTGACGAGGAAGAATGCATTCTGTGGACCCTTATCATACAATTCCTTCAGCCCACCCTTTTTCTCGGGGAATTTGTCATAGATCTGCCTTACATCTACAGCCTGTATATAAAAGAAAGGAAAACAACAAGCAGTGACAAATATATCATCACTCCCAAGTAATGTATAATTAATTAAAAATTAATTCTTGGATTCACACTCTCTCTTACTATCTCCTGGACTGTATGGTACAATGTTTTTTCTCATAAATCATTAAAATCAATAATTTCATATCATCATTCAACAGCTGTTAAGAATTTCACAAAACTTTACTTTCCAATAGTTTCTTCACGCTGCCATGGCTATAAATACTGGCAATCCACATTATTTCTATTTATTATTCTGGAAAACTTTAGGATGTATAACAACTTAATTCACCAAAGGACTGAAGACAGCAACGCATGGCAGATACCCTGAATCCACTCAAATGCTAAATATACCTTCCTCCTAGAATAAGCAAAATTAGATAATGCGCATGTCCTTACGGTGCAGTTCAGCCAACACTGATATGCGATATTAATTTACAAAAACATGACCTTTTCTTTATTAACATCAAGATAAGTACAAACTCACCTCCAAAAGCGGATCCGCATATGTAGCCGATCCTCCTATATGTACGAAGAGATGCTTATGATACTGAAAATGAAAGGAAAAATAAATTATTACTTACAGACAACTAAAAGAGCACACATTTTATCAATTCAGATCATTACAAACTGAAATATTCTTGAACTTAAATTAAAAGAACACTTATTTTGAACAGTACACTGCTGCCTTAGACACCATCTAATATGAAATATCCACTGTAATGTATTTATTCTCAAGTTACTTAATGATGCTGTTTGAACTGCAGTGGTTGTACAGCATTGTGTGAGACAAGAATAAAAGAAATGAGTCACAGCCTGTTTTGGTATACTACTATATCATTTTGCTTGCTCAAATGGTTAGTCGCTGGCTTCCCACTGCAGCGGCCCGGGTTCAAGAGCGGGTCTGGTCAAGTGGGATTTGTGGTGGACAGAGTGGCGCTGGGGCAGGTTTTCTCTGAGTACTTCTGTTTCCCTTGCCAATCTTCATTCCACCAAATTCTCCATCATCATAATCACCCGGAGCAGGTACAATAGGCCAATGAGTGGCCGACATGCCAAGTGGACCCAGCTGGACTACACCCCCCACTATGCAAAATTAAATTTTAAATATAATTTGGCTTGATGAGACTTGGGAGGCTCAGTTAGGATTTGTGATAAACCAGATTCAAACTGCATACTTCCTGAACACAAATCTAGAACATTACAACTATAACAACCCTCACAATGATTTTAATTATGCTCTTGGTGACAGGATTACTGTGATGATGATGACAATGGGGACCCGGAGAATCCTCAAAAATTTTTGCTTTATTTGAGATGAAAGAAGGGGAAAGTATATAGGAAAATTCATACTGAGTCTGGCTAGTATCAAGCCCAAGACCTTTCAGCTATATATCCCCAGACCACAAGGCCCCATACACTGTCACCTTTGTTCTCTGAGACTTAAAACACCTCAAATATTAAATCCTTCATGTTTGGACGATTTCTGGTAACAGAAATGAGTACCAGGAATTAATTAAATAATTTTCCTGGGGAGTAAAGCACGGCCTGCGCATAAGGCTGACAACCTTACCGCCATCTTTGAGCCAATTGTCTAGATAATGTGGGACCCTCAACATCTCACAACCCTATGGGCTTTCACAGCCTGTTACAGGGATACCTATACGTCTTACTTACTTACTCATGGAGCTGAGCCCTTCTGGAGGAGCCGCCAATTCTACAGCTACTCAAGAATTTCCCAGCATTTTATGAAATCCGAAGGTTCATCACCGTGTTCACAAGAGCCCTCCACTGGTCCCTATCCTGAGCCAGATCTATCCAATCCATACCATCCCATCCTATCTCTCTAAGATTCATTTTAATATTGTCCACCCACCTACGCCTTGGTCTTCCTTGTGGTCTCTTTCCTTCTGGCTTTCCCACCAATATCCTATACGCATTCGTCTCCCCCATCCGTCCTACATGACCTGCCCACCTCATCCTCCTTGACTTGATCATTAGCTTAGGTCATTTATCCAAGGAATCAGTCCAGGTCTGGGGCTTTGTGTTCATTTTCGTACCATAATGATTTTTTTACGGTGAGGAGTTGTAAGCCCCACGTCCAACCCCCCAAACTGGAGGGCCACCCCTTGTCGGCTGTCCGTGACTGCTTATTCACTATATTCACAGCTTCCTTCCAAAACTGGAGGGCATCTCATCCATACCTATACTTCTTATTTTTACCTATTTTTTGCACAATGGACTCTTCTTAGAGGAACGTGACAAAGACAAATATGAACTTTGTATAAAGCAGAATTATATTAGACTGTAAATCAAAAGCAAATTTATCCAGAACCTTTTAATGTAGACCATATATTTCAGTGCCATATGTACCACTGTTCTGGAGCTGAAACATGGATAAGCACAAGCTCCCCTTTGTATACACTATATGCAAAGAACACTTACAAACTGTTTTGTACTAATCAATACACTCATGAATAAAATGTCTTGGTAATTTTACACACAGGGGAATAAAGAAATACTTAAAAACATACAGTGTCTGCATCCCTCTGCTGTTCCATGAAAGCAGAGAATTCGACAAGGCGTAACTTGTGCGTGGCAATAGCCCGACCTTCCCATGGCGGAGGAGGCGGGGCCTGCAGACTCATGTCACTAGATGACACTGCTGTGGCTGGTTTGCCTGCATAGCCTGGCTGTGCAAATGGCTTTACACTGCAATCAACATGAAGGCACAGTTATAACTGAATATTTAGGAACAGTTTGATCTGTACAGTATAGCAGGGTGGTGGACACTTGGCTTCCTTTGGGAAGAGGAAATAGAAGGGACATGATCAAATTTGGTTGAAAAAAAAAAATTAACAATTTTAAACACATGAACTGTAATAAATTAATGTGTTGGTACAAGCCGCTGTAGCTGTTAAAAACGTTAGATTTATACATTGCATTATGATGACATTTTATGTACATATTAATATTCAAAAAAGGGCCATGCCATAGCTCAAGCAGTTAGTCACTGGATTCCCACCGTGGCGACCAGGGTTCAATCCCGGGTCTGGTCAAGTGGGATTTGTGGTGGACAGTGGCGCTGGGGCAGGTTTCCTCTGAATACTTTGGTTTCCCCTGCCAATCTTCATTCCACCAAATTCTCCAATATCATAATCACCCAGGGCAGGCTACAATAGGCCAATCACTGGCCGCCATGCCAAGTGGACCCGGTTGGACTACCCCCCCCCCTTAATATTCAAAAAACATATTGTAATAGTGGTTTCTAATTGTATGGATAGCCTTCTGAAGATGGTCTATAGGACCAAAACATGTAAAGAATAAAAGAATAAAATGAAAAAACCATCAGTCACACTGGACAGAATTATTTAACCTTTGTAATTTAGGAACACTTCAAATAACTGTAAATATATATGAACCAATGATTAGTGATCATCTTCCTGCTAACATCTATGATATTCTATTCTGAAGTGAATTCTTAGAAAATGAAGCAATTACATGTATTATTTCGTTCTGAGATCTTTTTGTCTGAGGGTTATTATTTCATGCCTCTCCCTTCATGTTCCCTCAGAAACAACAGCAGCAGCAGCAACAACAACAACAACAGCATAAACTATGACCAAGCATCTCTAGGGGGAAATCCTTTTTTGATTATTCTGTTCTAAAAATCCCATATACAGTGGTCATGGACTAGTCAGCAGTATATGCTGTAGCATTATCTTGCTGTAAATACCCATACAGTCTGTCAAATGGTTGAAGAAGGCTTTCAATATACCACTCACATATCAATCCGCATTCATAGTTTGCTGAAAAAATACTGAGCAAGTGACTTCCTGCATGGTTACAGCATACCACACCAATTTATCAAACGGAAAGAGGATTTTCTTCACTCCATATTTGTATACAGAGTGTACCATTCAAAGAAAAACCAAAACAATACTAATGTACTATAGATAGAAATAAAATTAGTAGCTGAAGAAAATCCGTGAACGAGGAACCAGTGTGAGCAGGTGCTTACAGACTAATGTTGAGCCGAATAAACCCAGCTTCCTGCTCTTATACTGCTGGGTTTATTCGACTTGACATTAATCTGTCAGCACCTGCTCACACTGGATTTTCTTTCTTCTCCTACCCTGAAGATGGAGGCGATACGTTCCTCCAAAACATCGGTTAACACGATATCTGCATGGCGCCACATCCCATAAGATGGCATTCTTCATAGACACCATCGTGAAAAACTCAAATCTTACAAAATCAGAAGCTGTTCTCACATGAAACGGGACAACAGTCTCACAGCTCAGAGTCATAAGAAAGAAAAATATGGTCTGGGGTCTAGAGGGGCCCTGAACCAGGAAAGACTGTGCTGGCAAAGTCCAGCAGCAATTTACCCAAAACCGAGAACTTGTAATTGATTCTCTCAAATCAATGTCACACTAGTTGCCAGGTTTCTCCAGTCACCAGCTGCAGAGAAGCCTGGCAGAATATGCATGGTACAGTCATGAGCAGAACATGTGTTCCTTCTCAACTTCTCCTGTTTGTGAAACACTTAGCAATGTGCACCCTGACAAGGTAGTGACACATAAGATAACCACTGACTGGTAATGAAATTCTGGGACACATGAAGTGTTTAAAACAAGCAACATATCTCACATAGATAGTTCTAAAAGGTAGTATGATTAGTAATATTAAAGTAACACTAGCCTCATCACCATGGAAATCTTTGAGATGACTGTCACAGCGAACCAGATTATCTCTGACAAGTGCTCATCAAGTGACCAAACAGATGAAACTGTGGTAAGTGCACCAGCTGCAACAATTCAACATTTTCAAGGTTTTTGACAGTGTGCGCATGAAGAGGTTCATATGTTAGATGATTTATTTTTCTAATAAAGTGTAAATCTACTCAAGTGGTTACATGACCAGAGCCTAAACAGTTGACTGTAGGGTGCTGAAAAAACCGCATACAGTGCACAAAACTCCTTTACATTCATTGAAAACCTGTGTGTGGTGCTGAGTGTCACAAATGTGAACTATGAAACAAATGTGTTCTGAGAAGACAACTGATGTGGAATGTTATCAGAAGCTTCATTTCTCCATTGGAAAGAATTTGGAAGAAATCTCTGGTTTCAGTATTGTGAAGAAACTAACCACACTACAAACACAACAAACGCTTTACTGAAAGATTCTCCAGTAAGTCCACTGTCGGACATGGCCTTCAGCCATTCCCTTCATCAGGCCTCACACCACCTGACCTCCTTCTGTGGGGATTCCTCAAAGGAAAAGTTTATTCGAATAACCCATGAAACTTGGAACTGAGGAACACTACTGAATAGACTGCCACCATCACTGACACACAAACGTTTTGCAATGTCACATAAACCATACTAAAACTGATGAATCAATGTCTTCAAGAAGGTGGTGGTAGATTTTCAGCAACTGCTGTAGAACTGTTACAAAAGTTCCTGCAGATAAACCGTAACACTAACAGATAACTCATATGCCTTTTATATTAATGTCACTTGCAATCTTGCATATACTGCTGTTGTTTGGGTTGCATCCTGAATGGTACAACCCCCCACCTATTTTGCGCAATGACTTCAACTTCAACTTTATTTTCGTCCATAACTGAAGTGAATACAATTGGACATGTCAAAAAATAATAGCAATTGCATCACATGTCAAAGTCACATAAAATTTACACATTGATTTATCACTATAACATAGCAACCTATAAGGAACATAACAATAGAAGATACAAAAGACTAAAAGAAAAATGTCAGTAATATAAAACATGTAAACATAATATCAAAAATTACAAACCAAAAGACAACCAACAAGTTAGTCATCAATCCAACATTAGTTGAAAAACTCTTGAAGAGAACTGAAAGCGCTGCACAGCAAATAATTTTTGAGTTTCCTCTTAAAAACATTAAAATTTTTAATGCTTTTCAATTCAAGAGGAAGATGATTAAATATTTTATTTCCCATATTAATTCACATTTTTTTGCAATGATCGGTATTACAAAACTGGACATACAAATTATGTATATGACATGACCACTAAGGTAAAATCAGTTACTGGTAGCAAAGGATCTAAAACTCCATCATGCATATTTTGCAGTAACCAATTACAAAAAGCAAATTCCTGCTGCATACTCTGCTTATTCAAGCTCATGCATAACTCTTACTAGTCTTGTGACTATAAACATAGATTCCACTGAAATATGTTTTTTGTACCAAGCATCTTCATGATTTGCAAGAACTGATCTCTAGCTGTGCTCGAATGTCTTGAATTTCTTCTTCAGTTGCCATATTTCTCTTCGTCTGCCTCCTCTCATCACAAACTGAACCCATGATCTGCCATTCTTTGAAAGCCCTGACATATGTGATGGTGCAGGAACTCATTCGTGTGGGTATATATATGAGTGAATTTCAAAATGTACAAGGTGTGTCCCAAAAGTCATGAAATATATTTCTTTCCTGTGCTCCGACTGGTCGCAGCACGCTGGAACCGGTTTGGTTAGGGGGGAGGCCTCTAGCTTCACAGCGCGCCCAAGGTCAGGCTGCTCGAGCATCGGAGGCGTCAGTATCACTGATTTAGTGCACCTGTGTTTTGTGACCACGTCATGGCACCCGATGGCGGATACTTTTGAACAGCATTGGGCGGTCAAGTTCTGCACAAAGCTCAACAAAAAAGCTGCCGAAACTCACGAACTGCTTAAGCAAGCCTACGGGGAGTCTGCTCACACCTCGGCTTCACCAAAACCGAAGAAAGCAAAGATGAGCAAATCCAAAGTGAAAACAATGCTCGTCTTTTTTCAACGCCAAGGGTGTGGTCCACAAAGAGTTTTTACCCAAAGGACAGACTGTCAACGCTCCTTACTATGTGGATGTTCTAGAAAGATTAAGGAAAAGGGTCATCCACATGCGAAAAGACATCGCCGCTAACTGGCAGCTGCATCATGACAATGCGCCCAGCCACACGTCTCTGCTCGTCCGTGAGTTCCTGGCGAAGCACCACGTGGCAACGCTGCCGCAGCCACCCTACAGCCCCGACCTAGCTCCGGCCGACTTCTTTTTGTTCCCGAGGATCAAGACTGCACTCAAAGGATGCCATTTTGAAAGCATTCAGGCTATCCAAGCAGCCATGACAACAGCTTTAAATGAGGTTCCCGTCGAGGCCTTTGAGGGGGCGTACCGGGCATGGTAGAGTCGGTGGAAAAAATGTATAGATGCTCATGGACAATACTTTGAAGAATATTAACACTTTGTACCGATATCATCAATAAATTTAAAAAATAGATATATAGTTCATGACTTTTGGGACACACCTTGTACTTTCTGCATCTTTTTCTCTTATGAAAGGCATCACCATGAAAACTTGGTGAATCATATACTGCACTACATGAGTAACAAATTCAGACCTTAAAATAAAAAAGATATTAGCCCACAGTTCTTTCAGTCACTACCACATTAACCAGACTATGGTAGTAACTGCAAAAATGACTATCGTGTTGGAAAATTATGCAGTGATCATAGACAAAACATACACTCTATTCACACTCTCATGTTTCCAACTCTTTTCAACTCTCTATATATGACACATGGTATAGTACTTACTCTTGTGAGGTCCCTGGTTGCAATCCTGGCTGCCAGAACTGTCAGAGGGAAAAAAATCAAATTACACAATGAGTAAATTGTATGGAGCTGCAATTGAAACTAAAGCCTTAGTCCAAACTGTTACTTTCCCTTTTGTCTGCAGATAATCTTTTACCAACAAAATAATTCACTAAATTATTTTTATGTCTTAGTCATCATCATTACCACAAAATAAAGTAGCATCCGCATTCAATTGTACACATAAGAATATAAAGAGAACTTTTACAGTTTTCCTGATTGGTACAACAGGCCAGAAGTGGCCACAGTACAAGGGATTTTGTCCCACCCCACTAGCAATAAAAAAATAATAATACAGTTTTCCTGATGATGCTAAGACCAATTGAACTCCCCTAAAACAGAATAATAAATTTCAACTGAAAAGACAAGCAAATCATAGAAGGTTACATTGAGGTTAGGGTCTGACAACATAGTTCTGATGCAGGAATATACTGATTAGGAATCACCTAGGAAAGTGCTTACATTGAAGACCGAGACAGAGAGACAAACATGGGAACATAATATTAAAATAAATATTAGAGGAAAACACCAGGGGCTCTTTCCCCGGGGTCAAAGCGGCTGGTGCGTGAAGCTGACCACTCACCTCCAACTAGTGCCGACATCAAGAAAATGTGCATCTATACATCCACATCTGCCTTCATGGCGCAGTGCTTAATTAGTTAAGCACACAAACAACACTTTACCTTTTTACCTTAATAGAGGAGAACTCTTGTGGGACCGAGCATGTTGAAGAGGGAGTACTAAAACTAAATTACCACGCATCCTAGTTATGTGCTGTAACTTATTCACTTCTTTACTCTGGGAATAGCCAGGTATCATATATCTGAAAGCTATCTCCTCATAAAATCCAAGAATATGCTATTACATGATGTTCAAGGAATTTATTTAAAAATGGCACGTTACAATAAGTGGTGCAGGCATTAAAGTATCAGGTATCCCATTAATCAGTGTGTTAACTGCTGCTTAACCCTGAGAATAACCAACATACAACACATACACATCCAAGGTACAAATGAGTTACTGTAACTCTTACATTACTTGAACTATACCTGCCTGGCTGGAATGGGAGCACCCAACAGGCAGATTTCAATTTTACCCCCTGTGATACAATAATAGTGAACAGATGGCCCAACATATGTAAAATTTCATCTGTGCTGAAAGCAAAAGAAATTCAGCACCATACTAATCTCGTCTAGAATACAAAACCTTCCACAACAGAGGGCCAGAGCTCTAGCCAACCAGGTCACTGTGGTATATTGCTATTCAAGCGTTTCAAAGAAAGCAAATTACATCAACTGAAAGCTGGTTAGTCGCTGACTTCCTACTGCAGCGGCCCTGGTTCTAACCCAGGCCAGGTCATGTGGGGTTTGTGGTGAACAAAGTGGCACTGGGGCAGGTTTTCTCCAAGTACTTTGGTTTACCCTGCCAATTCTCATTCCACTGACTGCTTCACACTCATCATCTATCATCTGAGGGCTGGTGCAATAGACCAGTTGGTGGCAGATTAACCAAGTTAACTCAGTCTCGCTGCAACCCAAAGAAATTAAAAATAAAGTATACAAAGAATGTATAGGTAAACAAAATTGCCTATGGATACTCACAGCACCAGGATAAGAGACAGGCGATGCCAAACCAAGGCTGGCCAACCCTGCAGCTGCAGCTTTGTTGTGGATCGCTGTGGCCGACACTATCTGCGCACTTGACATACTGGACATGGTTTGGAGGGCCTTCTCCTTTGCCGCATGGTCCTGAGTAGGAGACTACGTCATATCAACACAACTATCACCACCCAGCACAGAAAAACATCACTTCCTTAAAGAATTTACCATAGTAAATAAAACTAAAGTGAGAATGAATATACAAAAAACATCACTTCCCTAAAAAATTTACCATAGTAACTAAACCTAAGGTGAGATTGAAGATACAATCATTTTTCAAAGTTATAGTGATCATCACTCTTAATTTATATATGGGAGGTCCTGGGTTCAAACTCAGCCAAAAGACCAACTATTTTGCCAGCAATTCTACATCATTTTCCTGAATCCCTTCAAGAAAATCCTCTGAATATGCTTCAAGCATTCCACAACTGCTTCTTTCCACAGTCTTTCCATTTTACTATTCATTCATCCTGCCATTTGGCACTATATAACTTGTGAGGTTGACATATATCAACAAAGATACAAGATCCAGCCATAATTACTTGTAATACAAGGCTGATACATAGATACAATGCTCCTCATATAACTGTAAGGTTTCTGGTGGGGAACCAGTTATCACGGCTGAGTTTTTGGTAGTTCTGCTCAGTTCCGACCAAGAAATTCCAGGATAGCACATTCAAAAAGATGATAACTGGCTCCTTCCATGTTCTTGCACACTCATAATTCATGATCATCTCCTATCTCAACACAACAATCCTTGCAAATGAAGGAATAGAATTAAATGAACAATCACATGCCAATGTGATGGATACCAAATGTCCAAGGATCAATGAATGAAAAATAACATAATTAATATATCATGAAACTTGGAACACAAGGTACATTAACATAGTGTAACTTGATGTAGCTACATTTTTAATGTTTGTATACTGTTGCATGAGTATAATTAATAACACAAATGCCACCGTCCGTCAACGCGACTATAATTTATTAATTTATGTTCCACTACATGTTTTGACCCTTATAGGGTCATCCTCACGTGTTGATTTACACATTTTCATTGTTGAATTGTAAAGTGTGTATACATATTTACACAGATATTCCCTTCAGACTTTTTGACTAAAATTTTGTATGAACTTCTCATCTCCCCCAAGCATCCTACCTGTCCTACCCATCCTTCTTGAGATGCTTATCTGAATAATATTCTGTGAAGAACAAAAATTATGCTCAATTTTATGTAATTTTCTCTGTCCTCCTGTTACATTCACTCCCTTAGGTCCAAGTATTCTCCTCAGCAATTTTTCTCAAACAGTCTCAATCCATGCTTTCCCTTAAGGTGAGACAACAAATTTCCATACCCACATATAAAAGTAATTTTAGTTTCTAGATAGGAGACTACAATATAAAGTATTTTTATATTGTATTGAAGCATCCTGTTGCACTATTTTTACCTGAATGGTGAGAAATATTTCCATATTTAATCTGTTATTAACTTATTCACTAATTCTGATATGTTACTGTGTTTCTCAATTATTCCATGTTCACATTTAAGGATTCGCTAACCATCTTCATACTATGATTTTGTGCTGCAGTCCACTGGAAAGACCTTACTCATGATATTTTATATTCTTATGATAGCCTATATGAACAAATACACCATATAGTACACAAACATTTAGCACTCTCGGCTCTCACAATAGTCCCCAAACTAAGCAGGACCTGAATGAATACTGAACTTCAGACAGTTTTTCGTGCTTTAATAACAAAATGCCACTTCAAAGGCTCTTTGCCTCCCACAGTTATATACTACGTAATTATACTTACCACTTTGAGTTTGGCCTGTATCTCTCGCAACTTCCTCCTGGCAAGCACCTGAATGTGTGAGCTCACTTGTTTCCGAGTTCTCGTTTTCCCTGTTCGCAGCTTGATGTACCTAGCTATCAGCTCATTTCGTCCTGCAACAAGTAAGCATAAGAAACTGAGCTAAACGTGTTGCCATTTTACCTAATATTCTTTCAGTTACTACAACACTGCATTATTGTATGCTGTTATGGGTTTCAATACCATTTTCTTAAGAGGAGGATGAGGTAGGCAGGGCATTCAGCATGAATGGGGAAGAAGAGGAATACATATAGGACACTGGTGGAAAAGCCAGAAGGAAAGTGACCACTGGGAAGACCAAGGTGCAGGTGGGTGAACAATATTAAAATGGATCTTAGAGAGATAGGATGGGAAGGTATGGATTGGATTGATCTGGCTTAGGATAGGGACCAGTGAAGGGTTATTGTGAACACGGTAATGAACCTTCGGGTTCCATAAAATGCTGGGAAATTCTTGAGTAGCTGCAGATTTGACTTCTCCTGAAGAAGGGCTCAGCTCCATAAGTAAGTTACCACAATAAAAAAAAATATCCCATTATGGTTATCATTCCCGGTTCATATTTGGGATACCTCAGGTACAGTTCTTGTACCTAGCGCTAAAGTTTTCGTGGTTTTCCTCAGTTACTCCATGTGAATGGAATAGTACTTTTAAAAGAGGCTACAACCGTTGTCTAATTCATCATTCTGAATCATACAACCAAAAAGTCAATCAATAAATTAAATGAAATATAAACAAATATCTAACAAGTTGCCTTTGTTGTAGCTGCTCAATAACCATCACTAAATGAAATTCTGTTAATCACTTTTAACCCTTGAGCACATAATGACATGAGTGTGACACTTGGGTCATCTACTGTAGGATCCTGAAATTATGTATAGTAGTAGCACATCTTTGACAAACCACGCAACTTATATCAAGGCAAATTTTCTTCTGCAGAATACTGACCAAAAACAACTATGCAGCTATATAGCTGCTGTTCATTAAGTTTATAACTGAAAACCAGGAGACGGTGCAAACAAGTTGTACTCACAAGTTTAACTCTCTACATAAACAAGTTCTTCCCCAAAAAGATACAAAACTGTACCAGTAGTAATGGTGGTTGTCATAGTGGCGGTAACTGTTCATAACATTAACAATCAAGTTCCTTCCGTCAAATGTGACACTTTTTTAAGTTTTCCACCTCGTCAGCACCTGCCTTACATGTTTCGGCTCACCACGGAGCCACGGAGAAGTAAAAACTACAATAAAAATTTGTTGCACTTAAGACGGTATTTATCCATATATATTGTTCATAACATATTTACAATTGCAAGCACTAAAGAAAATACTGGCCTCAGTAGAGTTCAGCCATATGTCTATATGCTAACAATCTAAGCATCCTAACCTACAAGCTACATTGCATTTCGTTGCCAGGTTATAAAATTAAATTACCCATAATATTAACAAGGGATCTGAAGGACATGAAGTCCTAAAATGTACCATGAAGATGTTATGAAATATGCAATTTCATACATTCCTCCAAATTACCGTTTATCAGTCTGATACTGTCAATTCCAGTTGCGAGATTCTTAGAGAATGGATATTGTCTGCCTTTCACTGTACAGAATGCAAATCTGTATTACATAGTAATAAAATTATAAATAGGTTAAGGAACAGGAAGGAAGAATAAATAAACAACCAGATCATAAAGGTTTCAATATCAGTTTATTATTTTAATGTTTATAACTTTGATGCTACAAAATAACAGGAAAAAGAGTTTAAAGCATGGACATTATTCAGAAAAACTAGTTGGTGTGTGTATCCTTTGATTAATTGTTCTTAGGCTATTTATTGATGTCATTTCAACTAAAAAGATTAAATAGCTGTATATGAGACAGGAAGAAAATTATAAATGGTGAGATGATAAGGATTCAGAAATAGCCAATTGTGACCTACTTTAAGGTACAACCTGATGTATGCATGTAGAGACCGGAAAAATCAGCAAAAACATCTGACAGGATAGTCAGGAACCCAAGAATGGAATGCTTTGATGTTCCATACAAACTACAGTTTAGAATTCACAAAGCAGTCTTTTAAGAGGGTGAAGTCTTTACACCTCTGTGCTTCAACCCTTCAGCAAATGCTGGTGTACATAATACTTCATTTTTACTACTGTATGTAATGTAGCAACACTACCACATGCCTACCATCAACTGCTCTTTCAGTGTTCCTTTAGTGTCTTTCATGTCACTGTTATTAGTGCAGCTGGGCTGTCATCAGATAATATGATTGGAAAAGAAGTGGATTTTGATGTATGGCATGCACCTGGACATGAAGTAATTCAACAGTATATATTGTGGCTTCTTAATTGAATTTATCACACTGTAATTACAATTATTTTTACACTGTAACAACTGATAACATCAACTTGAATAATATAAAATAAAGGACTAAATTTCCGGTTTAGAAAACCGAAATTAACGGTCATGTGGATAGCGGCGTCCGTACTCTAGAGGTAACGTTCCCACCTCATGACTCGTGGTACGTGGGTTCAAACCCGGCGGAGGTCATCGAATTTTTAAGGGCGGAAAAATTCAGGGAACAAGTCTTCCGGGAGGGACTTCAAGCCGTGTGTCCCGTGTCGTAGCTTTACGGCAGGTAAAAGAACCTCATATCTCCAAAGGAGATTACTGAGCCATATTCAAGGACGTTTCCCGCCCAACAGTAGTTCCTAACGCCTCTGACAGATGGGGGAAGCATTATAGACACCACCAAGCAAGTGGAGGCCGAACTCGCTTGCTCGGCGGGACTGATGGTATGCACCAATATCAGCAGGGTATAGAGACTGATAGAATATCATAGAGGGAAGCACAATGGACGAATACTGGTCTAAGTGCATGGGGAAACCCACCCTCTCCAATAACTAACTAACTAACTAACTAACAGTCATGTGGATCCGTTGTGATGACCACACAACACCCTCTATCCGCTAAAATTGGCACTAACTTCGCCGACAAGCGATGGTCGCTCGGTCAGTATAATTCGCTAACAGACTAAACGCTGTCCTTGAATGTGTCTAGTAGATTTCAACAGAAATGTTAACGAAACTGAAAATGAACAGAAGGGCCTAAAAGCTTAGGACAGTCATCTACCAGTGGTTCAGATTACTGTATGGAGTTAACATGGTTGAAAAAAATGTTCTATGCATATTCTGTAGTTTGTATCTGGAGATACAATGACAGTGTTCTTTCCACTAATGAATTTGGCAGGAATTAATGTGAAAGTTCTATGGTTCAATTGCATACAAGTCATAACAAGGAAGAAAATATTTAAGAATTTATCACTGATGAAGACACTTTTCTTCGAAGGCCAATATAAAGGCATTCACATCTGAGGAGACATAATTCCTTACGAAACAGTGAAAACACATCAAATGTGAAGGGGCACCTGAGAAAAAAAGGATGCAGGTTGTGGTAGTGAAATATGTGAACACAACTGCAGAATGCCATTCATGCAAACAATCTGTATGCAAACAACACATATAAATAAAACACAGCTGTGTTAAAAAAAGGCTACAGTTATTATAGGTATTCTGCATTACATGAGAACTTGAAAGTTTTTATTTCATTTTAATGTGATCAATTAATTTTGTCCGATTTCTGTTGATGCTTGCTTTAATGTTAACTGCTTGTGGCAAATCCAATGTGATGGGGTGAAGTGTGAGTTGAGTACTGTGGGGATGTTGGAGAAGGAATACAAGGGGAGAAGACGAAATATGGCCCAGTCAAGCAACCTCTTCTGCATATCAACTGCTGCTTTAGAAGCCAGAGGCTGAGAAACAAATAATGATGGATGATTTTTTTGAAGTCACAGACAACAACAGATCTGCCAGATACCTCTATTTCATTTCATTTATTCACATTCCATAAATCACGTCAAGAGAACATTCTCATGCGGATGTGGAGATCGTCCTAGTTACTAATGATACTAACATATCGTCCTAATGATATTTTACCATCAACTTCAGTGATCATAAACGCAAAACTCAATACTGCTGAATTTTTTTCAACCAATGTGATCTCCTCAACTACCGTAATCACCAGCATCGTCCTCATCTTTCACCATCTCCCTTAACTATTTATCCACCTGATCACCTGACCCCACTTAGCCAGCCATCTACCTTGATATCGTTAAGGGCAGATTTTTGTTATTTATCATTAATAAAAACTGCTTCTGTCATCTAAATACAATTGAACAATGTTCCAAATACATTCTGTTAATACATTTCTTTGTATGTGTGTGTGTGTGCGCGCACGTGCATGTGCACTGAGCAAGCAAGTGAACAAGAGACAGGTGTTTCAGGACAAAAAGCAAGTAATTTGAATAAAAATCTTGGCCATGGATCTCGAGGAAACTGAGGCCAGGAATGATTGTTCTGGCGAAGGCCACCAGCACTTTAACCGACTAACCGATCAGAGGCACAGGTTTTCTGGGCATATTTCAATGGCATTATGCAATCTTAGCAATGTCTGGCATTCTTTTGCAGAAGTAAACACCAATTATAAGCAAAACTTACTCATACCGACATGAAATAAATATTATAAAAATAAGAAAGACATGTATTGCATAAGATAATTAAATTAACTAACAGCAACAATATTCTGATGCATTTTGAAGCAGATCTCTGACATTTCCACTGATTCTTATGGGGAAATTATGTTCAATTTGCATGATTTCATCTTCTGTAAACCTATCTTTAGAATACAGAAGTCACATAAACTGAAATGTACTTATAGATTCAGTGGACCACAGAGAAAAGTGGGCTTGCAATTACCTTTACAATGTTAAATTTTACTTGAGCCATGCTGTTAATTATTCATAAAACAGCGGAACGTCTAAGTTTAATAAGAAAAAAAAAAAAACATGGCCAATACGAACATAAACGGTTTATTTTCAATGAAGAATTGCTCCATAAACCAAAAGTGGTGTATAAAGTTTGCTCAAATAGAATTTCAGGGCCCATCTGCTCGGAGGGTCAATGTGAAGATTTAAACAACTTCTCCAAATCTGCTTTTTGCAGTTACATTAGATATTA